ACGCTTAAAATCAGGATATTTAACCCAAATCACTTTATTTTAACTTTATTGTAACTAGGTTCTGTAATAAAAAAAACCTAAAACTTCTGCGTTCCTCACTGCATCAGAGAAGCAATCAGCGACTGAGCTGCGACTAACAGTCATGTGACAAAAATTCTGAGTTTTCAGATGAACTGCAGGCTGTGTTTACACAGAGCAGATTATAATGAATGTGGTTAAATGTCGATAATATGTAGCGTCACCTTTTCCCTCCAGTGTTGGTAACACCTGTGGGCATTTGCAAAAATGTTGTACAACCAGGACTTTTTCAATTTTTGCAAAATAAATAATAAAACAGAAGCAACTTTCCTTTTTTTTTTTCTTCTGTTAAATAATTTATGGTATTATAGCTGAGTTTATGATGAGTGCTTCCAGCTATGGTTGTGCTGCTTCCATAGAGGTGCAGGACTTTATATTGTAGTGAAAAATGAGCCCAAAGTAACTGAAGGTAAACAGAAAGTGTTCGTGCATAATTGGTAATGTTGAAAAAGAATGACATCTAACTAAGTATTCTCAAATATAAACGACTCCTCTGCTGCTCTTCAGTGTATGAGAGATGCTGTTTTGTATTATATGATAATTTTAATCCCCCTCTTGACATTTTTTCTGCATCATAACTTCCCACAAACCAAACTTCAACGTGTCGACACGATTGATTCCCACCTATTTCCCACCTTGACCTGCCTGTAAAACTTCCCTCCGGCTTGTACCGAACAAGCGCTCATACGGTCCAACAGCAGCCTGACGCACTTTCCGAGAACAACCACCTTCATCCCTTAAGCGCGTTAGTCATGATATCTAATGTACTCGGCTGCCAGCGGCTCCAACGCTGCGCCGCCGCTGCTTCTTCTTCTTCTTCTCCCCGTGCTTTATTATGGAGCTGGCAGGTGAACAGAAAGCGAGGGGCGAGATGAGCCATGTTTCCAGCATTCATGTAAAATGGCGCTCATATGGGCTGGTCAGGGGCCAGAAAAATCAAAGGGTGAGGATGGAAAGGAGAGGAAACGGGAACAGTTCCCAGAAACGTCCCAGGTTGATGAGCTCAGTGTTCCAGTGTTTCAATATTGGATTTCAACTGGCTCCGGCTCTGATTCCAGATCAGTCCCCGGTTGATCTGCTCAGCTAAAGGCCCGCTCTTGGATCGGCGCCTCAGCTGAACAACACCTTGCTTCTGCTTAGCTGCCAGAGACATTAATTTTCACTTTTTATCTTCCTAAAACCATGTCAGGAAATCGAAAAAATGATGAAGCAGTCACTTTCTCTCCTCTGTGAGGCGAAAGAAAGGCTTTTAAAAATCACAATATGGGGGAAAGTGGTGCTCCAATTACACCTCCTGTGCACAGAGAGGGGAAAAGAAGGGAGCGAGTGGGAAATAGAGAGGTATAGACAGAGGCAGAGGGAGGACCGGTGAGGAGAAGGGGGAGATAAAAGAGAGTAAAAGGAGATGTGAAAAGAAAATGAAAGAAAGAGTGGCGGGGGTGGAGGAAGAGAGTGGGAGATCCGTCCGGCAGATAATGAAAAAAGGCTACCTGGTGGAAAAGTAATCCAGGGAACTGGCAGTCAGCCAAATTCAATAACAACATGAAAAGTGTGTGGGATGGAGGGATGAAACGATGAAAGAGGACGGCAGAGGTGATGCAACCGAATCTCAACACCATCCTGACGCTGTAAGCCAATGCCTCCTGATGATATATTCATGCAGAGTTGATGGGGAGGGAAGAAAAAACTGAGCAAGAGGAGGAGGAGAGGAGAGGAGAGGAGAGGAGAGGAGAG